GTGTTGAGTGTCACCACAATCAAGGACCCACCATTTCTTAGGTACTCTTCTGGGAGTTGAATAAATATTTGCAAATGTTCTAAATGCCACAGCTTCTTGAGAACTTAAGAAGAATGTTGCTTAGGCAGTGATAGGGGTAGGGCAGAATAATTTCTGGCTCTGCAGTTGTGCAGTGAATTTTGGAAGTCTCCAAAAAAAAAAAAAAAAAGTACCACATTTCCACTGCTTTAACTGTTACTGTGTTGGTGGCTACATCTCCCTCAAACTGCCTTGAAACATTCCTTCATGTTGACACTTTGGAGAGCAAGAATTTTTCTCTTCTCTTTTGAGTTTTGATCTGTGTTTGAAAAGGGAATTATGGAAATGTCGGTCTGCAAAGGCATGACAAGGCAAGCCATCAACCTCACCATGAGGTCTCAGCAAGTTGCTTCATGTTTTCCATTTATAGCTGCCTCTTCCTGTCAGTTCTTTTGAAGCACCCATAAAACAAAATAGGGTCATTAAATATAAAGGGATCAGTTGGCAGTTACACCTATTCAAATAGGTTTTAAAAAAAGAGATGTTCACACTCTAGAAAAAAGAAGTCAGAAGATGAATGCCTCTTTATCAGTGGCTGCTCATGTCTCCCTTTTGAGGGAGTGAGACCAATCAGGGTCTGGAATATGTGGGCATTATGCTGTAGATGTAGCTCTAAACTGATCATTGAAGTTAATGTCACAGTGAAAAGGCAGGATGACTGTTATTACATTCACCAACTTTGTATGTAAGGATGACTGGCTTTCTCAGTGTTCTTTCCTAAACAACCAAGGGTATTTTTTTCATGACTCTTCTTATATGGCCTCTCGCTGACAGGCACAAGCAATAGTTCTTGTCTGTGGATTGGCTCTTCTTATCTGTAGATTCTCTTCTCTTATGAATTGTTTTATGCAAATTTGGCTTCTTTTCTGAACCTGTAGCATCCACATTTTAATGAGCTGGGAAGGATGCCAAGATACATGAGATGTTTTTAACCCTCAAAATCTATAGTCAGTAAATGAGGTCACATGTGATGGTGTTTAGTAAATCACTGTGCAAATATATGTCAATTTGAGTGGATCCTTAAAGATGGAAAAGTTTCTATGGTTTCTGGTTATTGAATAGTTTATGCAAAGGCACAGCAGTGTTTAAAATCATTGAATACTCTTCTTGGTCCTTATTTTATTTGGTCTGAGCAATGTATGACATTATTGACCACTTGCTTCATCTTGAAAGATTCTCTTGGCTTCTGTGACACCACATTCCACTGGGTTTCCTCCTGTTTTTCTGACAGCATTTTAAAAAATCTAACCTCCAGGTTTCTATGGCCAGGTAGATGCTGGTGATGCCTGACCTGTTCCCCTGGCCAGGCTGCTTTCTTAAAGTTCAGACCTATATATCTAACTATCTGCTATTCACACTCACATATCCAGTTCTTATTTAGGTATACCATAAGTCCAGCATGTCCAAATTGAACTCAATATCTTTCTCCCCAGTTCTGCATCTTCCTCGGTGTTTCTTATCACAGTGAATAATGTACATGAAGTTATTCAAGTCAGAGACATGGTATAATCTTTGATACCTTCCTCCCTCTCCCCCCTCCATATAATCAACCATCATGCCCTTTATATTGTTGTTTCTTAATATCTGCTAAATCTGTCCAGGTCTCTCTGTTTCCATTACCACCTCCTTGGATCATCACTCCATCATCTTTCGCTTAGACGACACAATAGCCATCTACCTTAGATCTTTCCTCCAGCTAATTCTTTCTTTACATTGTAATCAAATTTGAAAACACAAATAAAATCATTGTGTTGTTTCTTTCCTTAAAGCCCTCTAATAACTTGCCTTTGCCGTAAGGATAATAACCAGATCCCTAATTAAGGCTACTTGCCTTTCTTGTTTTGGCCCTTCTGACCTCTCTTACCTCGTCTCTTGCCACCATCACTCAAGATCCTTAAACTTCAGTCTTTCTGAAGTGCATTTACAGTCCACTGACTCACCAGGTGAATTTTCATGTGCATGCTGTTTGCTGTCTAGTATACTCTTTTCCCTTGCTCTTTCTGTGGTCTCAGCTGGGAAATCACTGTTCAAAGTATATTCTAATAGCCTGTTTACTTGTCTATATCCCTTTAGGTCAGTCAATACCTCTTATATAGTTGGGAACACTTTAGATATTCAGTAGATTTTTAAAAAATGTATAAGTTAGTGGTAATATGTGAGGTATGTTTAAGGAATGGCAGATAACTCATTTAACTGGAATGTAGGATATGAGTGAAAGATATGAAAGAAATATGGTTAGGTGTCCGGTTGGGATCCCTGAACACAAATTCTGAGATAAAGATTCTAGTGCAGGAAGTTTGGGGTCCACTCTTATAAGGGATTTAGGGAGGCAGAATGTGGCAGACAGAGGCGTTGAACTGAAACGAAGTTGTAATGGGACTCTCAGCTAATCCCAGATGGCATACAGAAGCTAGTATAACCCTAAAAAGTTGTCCTGAATTGAGACAATGGGACCGAGCCATTGTATACCCATAGCAATCAGTCTTTGGATATGGGCTGCCTCTAGAGAGGGAGCAAAACTTGGGCCAAACAGCTCCTTTTGGCCAGAGCAATTTCAGGGGAAGAATTTAAAACTGACCTGCCAGAAGCCAACTGTGGCATCTGGAGGAATGACTGCCTTGGTACCAAAGGAGAATCTGGGTGGCACACCACAGCATCCACAACACTAGGCATACTTCATGCCAGGTTGAGGAATTTATACTTTTTTTTTTTTTTTAATAGAGTGGGAGGGAGAGAGAGAGAGGGAAAGAAACATCGATGTGAAAGGGACACATTGAGTGGCTGCCACTCACACAACCCAACCAGGGCTGGGGACAAACTGCAACCAAGGTACATGCCCTTAGCGGAAACCCAACCTGGGTCTCTCTGGACCGCAGGCCGACGCTCTAACTGCTGAGCCAAACCGGCCAAGGCTATACTTTATTTTGTCTTAGGATGCCATTGAAGGTGTTTACATAGAGAAGTTTTATGATTCTGAACTGTATTTAGGAAAATTAATCTGGTTGAGGTGCTTAGATTGAATCGGAGGTAGAGAAAATGGAAATAGAGACGACTGTGGGAAACTCTTGAAATAGTTTAGGTAAGGAAATAAAGACCTGAGCAAGGGTGTTGGTAGTGGAAATGGAAAGGTCAGGTGGCTGGTTGCAAGAGATATGACAATGCTAGAATTCACAGGCCTTGGCCACTGATCAAATATGGGAAATATGAAAGAGGAAGGAGACTCAAAGGTGATTTCAAGGTTTTGAGTCTGGCTGAAATATAAGAATGTTGATACTGATAATAGAAATTTGAAAAGAATATAGACTTGTTGAATTTGCAGGATGGCAGGCACTCAAGTAGAAGTGACCTACAGATGGCTGGGAAGTTTTTCAGGAGGGCAAAATACATATAAATAAAGTTATATAATGACATGAAGATGATCGTGCAGCAGTATAAGTATCAAATAGATATATAAACAGTTACTACTAAGAGAGTTCAGAGAAAAGAGAAATCTGTGGCTAAGAAATCTTCATGGAAAAGGTGGCTTTTGAGTGGGGTCTAGATGGAGGTGTGGGATCTATGTTTGGGAAGGAGAGATAGGGAGGAAGGAATGATGACATTCTAAGTGAGAGGCAATGCTTTGAGCACAGGCAGAGAAGTAGGAATACACACCACATTTTCAGGGGACCATGAGAAGAGTAATTTGGCTAGAAGAGAGGAATCACTAAAGAAAATTTTGGTTTAAAAAGTTGGAAAATTGTGGAAAAATTTGAATGATAGGTCAAATGACAGTAAGGTTAGAGGAATTCAGATTTTTTTTTCAATCCTCATTTGAGGATTTTTTCCCCCCTTTTTTCTGGATTTGAGAGAGAGAAACATCCATGTGCGAGAGAAACATTTATCAGTTGCTTTCCATATGCACATGCTCCCCAGCCAGAGATCAGGGATCGGGACGATACTCCAACCAGCTGAGCCACCTGACCAGGGCAAGGAGATTTCTTGTAAAACTTTGCCTCTGTTTCTGAAGTTTGATTCTATCTACTTCCTGAATGTGGGTCTGTGTGTCTGATGTAGAAAACTACTGGTTATTGGCATTGTTTTTCATAGAGATTATATTAAGACATTAAAGGAAAGTTCAGCCTACATGTGTTTCTGAGGCTTTTATATTCACAGTCTTTGCTTAGGTTTCATGAGGCATGAGAAATCTGCAGCCTAATTGGTCAGCTGGTTTACCGGCTCACTATGAAAAGTAAATATTGTGTATTTGCAAGGGGAAAGTCAGTATGTGTAATCTAGCTGCCTAGTCACACCTGCCCCAATGCTGTTGAAAACTTTGACCAAGGGCTACAAAACTGTCAAGAACTGGGGCCCAGGTATGCTTCCACATTAAATAGCTCATTATTGAAGCTATTGGGAAGATAACAGGGCATGCATTTGACTTGCTGGGATCCCTGTTTGCTACAGAAGCATCTGGCAGAGCTCAGTAGCTCTGTATTACATAATTTTTCACTTCTTGTTTTTGTTTTCATTTATCCCTATTTAGATTTATTTGACATCAGAGCTTGCCCCACCCTTTTCTAAAACTACACTCATAGGATAGAAAGGGTATCTTGATATCAATGAAGTAACTTCAAAATGGAATCTTCATACTGGTACTCAGACCATTAAAAAGAAACCAAAAAACAAAAACCCCAAACAAAAAAAACCCAAAATAAAACAAAACCCCCAAAACGAATTACTGTGGTATTTTTAGGCAAATATTTAATTTCACTCTCCTCCAAAGTGATCATGGGCTGCTATGAGACTAACCGACTGCCAATTTTTAACATTCACAGTATGTATTTTCTTTGCATAATAATTACATCACAGAGAGTTTGACACATTTCTTGGGAAAGGATTAGAATTGCTGCTGAAGTGACTTTTTTTTCCTTTCTTTTTAACAGGAGGAGGTAAATGATATGTGCTGAAGCTCCATGGTTACCTTTGGAATGGCCTGCTAGACTTAGGACCAGTGATGGAGAGTATGCAATTGATGATCTGTGAACAGTTACTTCTGTCAAGGTAAAGTGACCCAAGCATGTCTGTAGCTCTCCACACAGCTAATCACATGAGGTCTCACTCAATGGAGAAAACCTGTCAATTCTTGAACTATTAATAATAAAAGCACCTGAGCATGTTATTAAGTTGCAACTAATATTTAACAGCTCTACATTAATCTCTAAGAAGCCAACAAAGGAGTATTTACTCTTTTTATCCATTGTTCAACTTTGCACAATTGATTTTATATTTTAGTCCATAGAAATGTTTACAGCACAATAAAGTTTTTAAATAATATATATTATACTTAAAGTGTCTTTTAGATGTTTGGTCTGAAGTGGGTATATTTGAGTGATCCAAAGAAGAACCACACAAGGATTGTGAGTTGTGTTTTCAGTATTAATTAGAACTCTTAATTGCTTAATGCCTTACTTACTCCACTTGGATCCTTCCTGAATCCAGTCTAATTTTTGCAGCTGCCTTAAACATCCCTAGTATAAACTTTTCATTCCCTCCATAATTACCTCAGCTAGAGAGGAAGAAGAGTCAGATCCAGACCCCACGGTGTGATGTTAAGGGTGTTGAGAAGACTTCTTTATTTCCCAAATTAACTCTTATAAATAGTTTTTCTTTTATTGAGGTATAATTGTCACATAATATTATATTAATTTCAGGTATATGATATAATGATTCAATATTTCTTTTTTTCCCCTCACCTGAGGACATGTTTTCATTTTTTGTTCAGATAGAGTGGGAGGGAGAGAGAGGAAGAAAGAGAGAAACATCCACGTGAAGGGGACACATCGAGTGGCTGCCACCCGCACAACCCAACCAGGGCTGGGGACAAACTGCAACTGAGGTACGTGCCCTTAGCGGGAACCAAACCTGGGTCTCTCTGGACTGCAGGTCGACGCTCTAACTGCTGAGCCAAATTGGCCAGGGCATGAGTCAATATTTCTATATATTATTACAAAATGATCACCATAATAAGTGTAGTTAACATCCATCACTATACAGTTAAAATTTTTTTTCTTGTGATGAGAACTTTTGCGATCTACTCTCTTACCAACTTTCAAATATGCAATCGTCTTTTATTAGTAACATTCCTTTAATAGGCATCGAAGATCTTAATGCAATTACCCATGGTTATCTACCAGATTTACCTCTGGTAGATGAAGTTTTGGTTCAATGACATATATTTTAAAAGAAGTGCAGATAAGATCAATGGTCACATAAAATTAGTCGCTGATCAGAAATGAGGTGATTAGGACTATGGGCTTTGGAATCAAACCAAACTAGGTTACAGGCCTAGCTCCACCACTTCCTACCTGTATGACTTGGGCAGTATATTTCTCTCCGAGGCTCAGTCTGATTATCTTTTAAATGGAATGGAAATGCCCATGCCATAAAGTGAGATAATTTTTGTAAAGCACATCAAGTGTTCAACATAGTGTGAAGCCACAGTGCATGGCATATAGGTGCTCAGTAAATGCTAGCTCTCATTATTATTTAAATATTTAGGTGTTAAAAATGCCTTTCTTGGAAAAGTTATGCCTTTAAAATGCTTGAAAGCATGCCTTAGATGTTCAGCTGAGGCACTAGCCAAAATTCCACTTTAGGAGATTAATTTGAACTGTCCAACACCTGAATCCTTGCTCCTGAACCCCATTTAACACATCTCAATCCAACCTGTTCCTGCAGCCTTTGCCTGCATCTAGTGTTTGATGTCTGGCACCTCTTGCCTCTGCCATGGCAGCCAAAGTCTGGCCTCTCCCCATGGTTCTCTATTACCAGGAGGTCAGGCTTTTTTCCTAACTGAATACACACACACACACACACACACACACACACACACACACACACACACATTTTAAATTTATTTTTCTCTTTATTGTTGAAAGTATTACAGATGTCCCTCTTTTTTCCCCCCATTGACATCCTCCTCCCCGCTTCCTGCCCCACCCCATTTTTACTGCACTGTTGTTTGTGTCCATTGGTTATGTATACATGCATGCATATAAGCTCTTTGGTTTACCTCTTCCTGCCCCCTCACCCCCCACCCCCACTTTCCTCTGAGGGTTGTCAGTCTGTTCCCTACTTCCATGTCTTTGAAGCTTATTTTGTTCATTATAGTCCACAAAAAGTGAGATCATATGATACTTGTCTTTCTCTGACTGGCTTATTTCACTTATCATAAGACTCTTTTAGTCCCTCCATGTCGTATCAAAGGGTAAGAGATCTTTTGTTCTTACAGCTGCATAGTACTCCATTGTGTATATGTACCACAGCTTTTTTATCCATTCATCTACTGATGGACTTGGGCTATTTCCAGATCTTAGCGATTGTAAATAGTGCTGCTACAAACATGGGGGTACATATATTCTTTCTGATTGGTGTTTCAGGCTTCTTAGGCTATATTCCTAGAAGTAGGATCACTAGGTCAAATGGAAGTTCAATTTTTAATTTTTTGAGGTAACACCATATTGTTTTCCATAGTGGCTGCACCAGTCTGCATTCCCACCAGCAGTGTACTAGAGTCCCCTTTTCTCCACACCCTTGTCAACACTTCTTTGATGATTTGTTGATGGCAGCCATTCTGACAGGTGTGAGGTGATACCTCATTGTTGTTTTAATTTGCATCTCTCTGATGATTAGTGATGTTGAGCATTTCTTCATATGTCTCTTGGTCATTTGTATGTCCTGTTTGGAGAGGTGTCTATTTAGTTCCTCTGCCCATTTTTTAATTGGGTTCTTTGTCTTCCTTTTGTTGAGTTGTATGAGTACTCTATATATTTTGGAAATTAACCCCTTATCTGATGTATCATTGGCAATGATGCTCTCCCATGCAGTGGGTTGCCTTTCCATTTTGATGGTTGTTTCATTTGCTGTGCTGAAGCTTTTTTTTCTTTTTCTTTTTTTTTTTTGTGGTACATGCCCCTATCAGGAACTGAACCCAGGACTCTCTGTTCATTTTTTCCTTTGTTTCTGTTGCCTTAGGTAATGTATCAGTGAAAATTCTGCTGCGTGTGATGTCCAAAATTTTGATGCCTACGTTTTCTTCTAGGATTTTTATGGATTCACAGGTCACATTTAAGTCTTTTATTCATTTTGAGTTTATTCTTGTGTATGGCGTAAGTTGATGGTCTAGTTTCATTTTTTGGATGTAACTGTCTAATTTTCCCAACACCATTTAATAAAGAAGCTGTCTTTACTCCATTGTACGCTCTTAGTTCTGCCTTTGTTGCTGGCGCCCTACCCCACGCAGGTGAGAATAAGAAAAAAAAAAGTGCAATGAAAAGAAAGAAAGAAAAAAGAAGGAAAAAGAAAGGAAGGAAGGAAGGAAGGAAGGAAGGAAGGAAGGAAGGAAGGAAAATAAAGAAAGAAATGCTCTGCTTGGTTCTTTACTCTTTCAGTAAGGATAGTTTGTGCTGGGTGGGGCTACTGCCTAGGCTCCCACCTGGCCAGATGTTCAAATCTCCAATGTGTTAGTCCCTGCTGTTGGGGTGCAGAGTTCCTTTCCTATGCTTTACACTGTCCACTATTTGTTATTCTGCAGGGTGGGGTTTCTACCCAGGCTCCCTCCAAGCTAGAGGTCTGACTCCCCAGCTTCAGACACTGCCAGTGGGGTGCAGATGTCCTGCCCTATGCTGTTCACTGTTTCACTGGGCAGGGGTTTCCTCCCAGTCAGATTTCTAATTCCGCAGTGTGTCAGGCTCTGTTGTGGGGTTTTGATCTGATCTTCAGCTCAGAGCTGTTACCCAGGTGTGGGAGGTACGTCTCCTCTTAGCTGGAGGTAAGGAGGAAAGGGGCTCTTAGCCCAGGCACCATGTGTGCACCCCTTCCCTTCTCCGCTGCTCTCCTTTGGGATCTCTGTGTGGTGCTGAGTTCCCCTTTTCCCAGGGGGCTGCAGCTGTGCCACTGCACCTTTCCTGAGTCTTCCAAGCTGCACCAGGCAGCTGCACAAGTTATTCATTTACCTACTTCGCCATCTCCTCCTCTCTCCTCTCCACAGTCTCTTTGTTCACAGTATTTCCAGTCAGCTATTTTTAGGTGGTTTTTCAAGTTAAATTTTCTACAGTTTAGCCTCAGGTCTGGTCCCAAGTTAAGCCAATGCAGTGTGGAGCTGGCAGAGCTCAATGGGCCTCTTGCTGGATCCTACCACCAGGTCTGGGTCTGCAGGGTGGTTCTGGGTGAGCTTCTTTGGAATCCTGTTCGACTATGCCAAGTGATGTCAATGTAAGAAACAGTCAAACCTGTGAAGAATTTTGTGAGTTTATTTGAGCCAAACTGTCGACCTTCGATGTGTTCTTTATTTCTATGTCATTCTTGATTTCTAATTGGTCATTTTTCATTGTTTCTAAATCTTTTCTCATGCTGTTAAGCATCCTGACAATTGTTACTTTGAACTCCATATCTGATAGCTTGCTTATCTCCATATAATTTAGTCCTTCTTCCAGAAAATTCTCTTGTTCTTTCAATTGGGGCTTGTTTCTTGGTTTCACCATTTTGGCTGCCTGTTTGGGTCTGTTTCTATATATTAGGTAGATCTCCTATGACTCCCAGTCTGGGTAGGGTGATCTTATATAGTAGGTGATCTGTGGGACCCAGTGGCACAGTCTCCCTGATTAACACACCTGGATGCTCTAATAATGTCCCTTGCATGCTTTGTGTGGGTCCTCCTGTTGTGATGGAGTCTTGATTGCTATTGACCCATTCATGCATGGGCTGAACTCTCTGGCTGGCCGACACTCAGCCCCCAACACTGTGAGCAGCTTCTTATCACATGAAGCACAATTCACCTCATCAGGCTTTGGAGCCTGCCAAAATCTCCCTGTGGATATCAACGATCTGCAGTTTGTGGCTCCCTCTGCTGAGGCTGGATGCGTATGGACCAGACCAAGCTGAACACAAAGGTTTGGTTTTACTCTCCTGGGGCAGAGTCCAGTTGTAGGCCAGGCAAAGATTCAAAGAACCCAGAGATCAGTCTCTGCCTGCAGGCTGGCTGTTAATCTCAAGGC